TATTTTTAGGAAATCAGTTGTATAGTGTTAAATTTTGGTATTTACCATTAACCTTTGTGTGTTGCATCGGTATGTGAAATGTTAAAAGAAAATAGTTTTGTTACCTAATTTATATATGATTTCTTGTTAAATTCACTTTGAAGAATCTTGTCTATATCTAATTAGGAAGTATAGAATATTTCAAGTGAAAAACTTTCGAGTGCAAAGGGTTAAGATTTTGTCTGAGGTTTCTTCAATGTTTCGAACGCAAGCTAATGTAAAATAGTCGTAGCCATTAATTCTTTTCGAGCTTGGATAACCGAGAAGTGATTTCTGTGATTGTAACTTCTATAATTATAACTCTCATAATTGCAACTTCTATCATTACAATTCCCATAATCGTAACTTCTACGATAATCACTTGTATAATTATAATTCAAATAATTCTAATCTCTGCAATTCAATCTCTGCAAACTTCGACATTTCAAATTTCCATAATAACGACTTGCACATTTCGATTTTCAATACTCACACATTCCGGCGATTACGCCTTCCCTAATTGCAACCGAGGAAAATACGGTGATCGAAATGCTACCGAGAATCCCGTTGTATTTTCAATTTCAGAGCCAAGATAATTGCTCGTCTCCTCCGTCCCATGGAATACGGTCCCAGCAGACGAGCCTCGCGTGTCCGTCACGCGTTTCTCTGAAGGAACCCACCCTCGGAAACCGTTCGCGCATCTCGGCCCCGTCGAAAGCAAAGCCGCGTCAGCTGTTCCGTTTCGCGTGACGTCGTCCAATCAGTAACGATTCAAATGATCGGCAAAAGCCGCGCGTCGCCGGTTCGAGCGAGTCCCTCGTGTCCCGTGTTCCTTTCCTGGAAATTAGAAATCCGCCTGTCGAGCCGCTGCTCGGGCCGATAAGTCCCCTCGTTAATCGCAGTCAAACATGGTCCGCGCAAATAATGTCCCGGCACGCGGTGCGTGCCCGATAATTATGGCCGGAACGATCGCTCGTTTTAATTGCAATCATTATACAAAACCGTCTTGGCCGGCGGCCGTTCGCGCGGCCGGAATGGCCGTAATTACCGCCGCGACACGCGTTTTAGAGTAATACCGCGGCGATCAACGCCGTTAATATAGTTGTCCGTTTTACGCGAGCCGGCCGCCGTCCTGAATTCGCGGCAACCGGCAATCAATATCCCGTCACCGTGACGCGCGGAAAAAATCACGCTCGCGGGAAGCCGTCTCCGCGGACATGATTCTTTTCGTTCGAGCTTGGTCACCTTTCTAAACGTTACTGTGCATAATTATTTTCTGATGTCGGTGATCTTTGACTCGCTGCCATTTTTGTCATTTATTTCTTTCTCTGCTAGTAGGTAGAGACGTCTGAAAGGTATGTAGATACAAATAGTTTAGCCACTGACATATCTAACCCTTTGCACTCGAGAGACTCAGTCACCATTTGATTTGACGCAGTGGAATTAGAAAATTTAATATTTAATATTGAACTATGCATAATGCATCTGTGCGCGAAATATTCTTATAACAAAGCTGTTTCTAAATTTATCTGTGATTTCTCTTTGAATTCAGTTTAAAAAAACCATCGTCTTTGTCTAGTTAGAGTGCAAAGGATTATCCCTTAACGGAAGCATTTCAAGTTTACTAAAGAATACTGTAACACAACAAAGCGGAAAGAAATTCACAGAAGCGACTTAGTAGAATACTCAACGTAATTGTAAATATCACAAGAATAACAGCGATGAAAGTTCTCGCCACCGTGTACAAGGCACTGTGCAATTACAATAGTGACATAATCACATTAGTGTCCCTAAACCGAAAGAATCTTCGCTGGAAACCTTAATCTCTCGGCTGCTCAGCAATTCATCTCCGAAGTCTTTATTAGCGGCGCGATCTCCTCTTTCGCCAGAAGACACCGATAAACCATTGCGACGGCAACAATATTAAGACCGGCAACATCTGCGCAATACCGGCCGGATGAATCGCGCCGAGTTCCACGAAATCGCGTCCGATAAACCGGCGATAAATCACACGGAATTTCTTTGATCCGTCGTTATCGTCCCCGTTGAATCCTCTTTGTTCGCGGGCCGGTTGCCAGTTGGTCCTTCGCTGTCGGGCTCCATTGTCTGGCCGGCCGTTGCGCATCGTCTGGCCTCGTTACGCGGCAATTAACGCCTCGGCGTAACGAGATTCGGACGTGGTTACGGGCGGAATTTGCATGGAAACCGCGCGCGGATGCTTCGACGCCCGCGGGTCCCGTGCGAAACATTGGATAGATGGAATCACACAGGCCGCGGAAGGATCGTACCGCCATACGATAGATCCAGGGGATGTCTTAATTGACGGGGAATATGATGTTCATGGTAAACAGCGGCGCGGTGCTTGTTAAACGCGCGGAGGAACGGCCGGAATGTCGAATTCGTCGATAACGATAATTAATAGCCGCGCGTTACAGGATTAACGATCCCCCTCGCGAACAATTATGGCGGTTATGATGGACATTATGGCATCTATAACGGGGATTTTTCCTCCGCAGCGGCGATCGAAAGGTTGCCAACTATAAAACGCGAGTGAAATCAGTTATTACTGTCCCGGCGTGTGTACCGTAAAAGCGCTGGACCGAAGTGTACACCTTGATTATAATAATTGGAACAGTGATTTGTGCGCCCTTTTTTCCCTCTCCCGGCCGGCGGGTTAAACGGCCCGATAAGTTTTCTCCTAGCGTTATATAAGCGGCGGAGTAAATATCCATACTATTCGGCCGATGTCGTTTATGCGGTTTTAAACATACGCGGCTTTATGGCCGTCTAAATTGCGATGGTTAATAAGCGCCGGCTCACTTTTTCTTCGCCGGCGGTCGCCGGCGAGTAGTCCCCCTTTTTTTCCCCGGCGCCATTCACTTTTTACGGGATCCGACGGAGCTAGATTCCTACTCGCGTTTCGATCGCGCGCTAAACACCGTGTAACTCATTGTTTCGAAAGAAACCCCATCGAATCCCCCCCGTTCGAGCGGAATTTTTATGCGACAAAAACCGAAGCCTCGGTTTCGCTCGGCCGTTAGCCGCTCCTGGACGGTAACGTTCGTTAATTATCCGCGTTGCGCAATTATCCCGCGGGAGCTTATTATATAATCGCCGTTCGAACGCCGCGAGACGGTCGCGCGTTAATTTATTCAGGATTTTAGTGCCGTTCCGCGGGAAGAGCATAAATGTAGACATAACCGCGCCGGCAAAACACGGGATCCGTGAAACGAGGATGAACGGAGCTGGAGCGGCGTGGGGGGGATAGGGGATGGATCGTTACAATGTAACCGTCGCCGGGCATTTGATGGCCGCCGGTTTATATAACCGGCGCATTAAACAGTAATAAAAGATCGGTTAAGTTATGCTCTCATTTAAATCATCGGGCTTCCTACGGCGCGCGGGTCGGGTCTCATTAAACGATGCTACTTTCATCGGAAAGTTTTGCGCACTGCGGCGGCGGCGGCGGCGTTTAAGCCATAGGACGAGCCACAATAAACCATAAACTGCCAGCAGAGGCGTCTTAATTGCCGGCAATTAATTTGTCCGTGTCGTGCCGGTAGAAAGTGCGCGCGCCGCCGCCGCCGCCGCGGGATGACGGGGCGCGCGATTATTAGAAGGCGAAAAAGATGCGTGCGTATCCCGCCGTTCACCTCCGCCGGGGTGAACCGGGGTTAAGAGGTGAAATTAGAGGAAGCCGCGTTCGGCCCCGCGGGTCAAACCGGCGGATCGTTCCCGCGCGGTCCCTATACTTCCTGTTTCGTGTCGCTCCTTATAAATTAGAAGCTGCCGGATGACAGATGTTAATTGTGTTCGCTTTCGATCGGGGAAACGGGCCGAACGATTTCACTTTTCCGCGCGGAAAAATCGTAATTGAACGGTATTACGTGTATTTCGTGCATTGCACTTTGTGCGAGGATGATTGGTGTTATTTGACGATACGCGGGACGTCGGAACCCGTGTTCGGTAAGTGGCGGACCTTGGAATTCGAATGGAAAACCGATGGAACGTGGAAAACCGTTGAAGTCTTGCTCGCTGGTAATTGATATAGATGATAATGCGGAGAAAGCGAGTGGATGGATAAGTGTTCAAGTGAGGGTTTCGTTAGAAGTAGGGTTTTCATTGATATTCCGTTAAACGTTTGTTTCTTTGGAATATTTGAATAGATAATTGAACGATGTGGGATGTATCGTGTTTTAATCAATTTCAGTCTCTTATGATAATCTTATTAACCCATAGCACATCAGATGAATGTATTCTACTAATTTTTATAGTATGCCTAGCGAAATTGAACAATGGTCTTTCATTTTCCTTCTTAGTGCAAAATTTGGACGTGTGAAAATCTAATAATTGTAGGGTAGTTTCTTTAAGATTCATTAAAATATCTAATATTATTCCTGCTGCAATATTGGAGCCTACGAAGTTCAAAGGGTTAACCCCTTGGCGTACTATTTGCTTTCGTTACTAAGCTCGTAATATTTTACTATCGACAATCTGTAAGAAATACAACAAAATTTTTCATTCTACTTCAGGTGGAAATTTCATTTGAAGATAATACATTGATAATAGCAAAATAGTTTTACTTTGATGTGGGTAATGAACAACATTGGGAAAGGGGTTAATTTCAATCTTCTTCGAGTGCGCGTTTCGTCCATCATGTCGTCAGAATGGTAGCGAATTGAAGGATGTTTGGCAACGTTACAGCGCGAGGAGACACGGGTCAGTCTCCCTATCGTTTTTCCTTTCACACCGAGGGATCGGGGTTGGGAAAGTTATTCGATATCCTCTCTCTCGGGTGAATCGCGGTCATATTTGTGCAACTGTCACGAAAGGACTTTTACGCAAACCCCATACGGTATTATATCAGATTACCGAAATCTGCTGGTATACGATTCCGTAGCCGATTGAGATGCAAACGTGGACGGAGATCGGATCCGTAAAGGATGCGGGAGTAACGAGATCCCTGTTGTCTCCTGTTTCAGGAACGAAAAAGAGAGCCGACGACGTGGTAGCGCCCAGGACCATTCACGACGTACCGGAACACGTTCTCACGTGTGGCCTCACGCTTCCTGGTGAGTACGCACGACCCGACATTCTCGAAATACTATCTACCCTTCAGTCATGGATCCCCTCAACAATTATTCTTAAACGGATACTTGCTCAAACAGTATTAAACGGATGTTTTCTTCTCCCCTTCGCTCAGTTACTTTAACCAACGGTTATTCTGTCTTTCCGTGAAATGTCTCGAGTTACGTTGTAAATTTCAAGCAAATGATAATTTCTCAGGTACATTGTCTCAACAGTAGTTAAGATTCAACCTTTGGCTACGACAGAATTTTACGTCAACGCGAGTTTCTAAATTAAATCTCACGGAAGGATGTAATTGTTGAATTAGAATTCTGTTATTTCACTTATTATATATGGTCACACTGTTAACGATTACAATGAATCGACTTCCTGTTCCCTCAACAGTAAAACTACAGAGCAATCAAAGTGTCAAAATCGTGACACTAAAACTACAAAAGCAATCAAAATCTTTTTATTAAGATCAGAACAATACTCGAAATTCAAGCACACGAATTCAATTGAAAATCTTTTACAAAACCGCCTTCGCAATTCAAATACTCGCGAAATAATAATTCTGTAACTCGTCAGTTCGACGTCCGACAGTTTCAGCATTAATTCCCTCCGTTCAAAAGCTAAAATACAGTTCGTCCTTCCATGGATTCTTGCGATCTCCTAAAAATGTCCATTAAACCTGTTCCGGGAATTCCATTGAAAATCTTCCGCCTCGCAATTCAAATACTCGCGAAATAAAAATTCTGTAACAAGTCAGCTCGACGTCCGACAGTTTCAGCATTAATTCCCTCTGTTCAAAAGCTAAAATACAGTTCGCCCTTGCCTGGATTCCCGCGGTCACCTGAAAATGTCCATTAAACCGGCTCCGCGGCGGTTCGCGCGACACGCGCGACTTACTGTTCGCAGCTGTCTCCGCGGAAAGATAACGCGCGCTGACCGCGGAGGAGTATGCGGAAGCCAGGGGCACACCCACCCACCACGTGGGCCTGTTAAGCTCGGTTCACACGCCCCCGCATCCTGGCCGGCCGCATCTATTTACGCGGTTGAGGACACGCTTCGCGCGGCGGCGCAACCCCGCCGCTCGGGGAACGCGCCTTTGTCCGTCGTCCTTTCCCCGAGGCGGTCAGCTGGCCGGATCCGCGGATGTCTAACTGTATTCCCGGCGCGGGTGCTTTGTCAACGATTAACGGGGGAAAGGTGTGCTCCGAAGGACCTCGGGAAGGATGAAGCCGGCCGGGGATATGTGGGTCGGTGGACTGGACGCGTGGGAAATTCTTTTCGAGCGGGCTCCGTTGCGCGGGGTGATGCACTGTGGCGCGAGGCGAGTCGCAAACTGTAGATAGATATATGTCACGTCGCGAAAAGAGGGCTATCGACGAAACCTCCTGCGAGGCACATTAGAGCCCTGGGTATTTTTACCATAGCAGGAATAAGAGCCCAAGGAACCGTTGCTTCACTGATTTAGTCGCAGTTGCTTCGGCGCGTTCTGCAAGTTTTGTAGATTTACCATAGTTCTAACCTTACATCTGTTCGCCGGAAGTCGAGGCGATCCTTGGTCTTATTGCAATCCAATGATTCGATATTATATCTTTTCCATTTTGTGTATTGTGTTCTATGAAATCCCGTGTTCAACGTGTTAAATGAAAATTGCTTTTGTCGACTGTTACTGATTTCAAAGTGAACGTCAAGAGGAAGATTCTAAGGTCAAGCCGAATTTGTGGAAGATTTGTATACGTTTAATGACTCGTCTAGTTGCATAGAACATAGGTGATATTTTTCGAGGTTTTTCGTTGCGAGATATGTTGCGGTTCGTCGATGAAACGTGTTTCAAAGGAACTTCGAACTGATGAATGTAATTGCGCGGAGAGTGCGTCGAGCTCGAGTCTTTGTAGCTGATAGGGAGGTCTGTTTAGTAGACGGTGTTTTATTTTCATGGAACAGTTTCAACGAGCCTGATGTACATGAAAGGAACACTCGACTCGCTGTAATTTGGTTTCAGCTGTTCATTGTTCGCCCGTGCCCCTTTTTGCTCCGCTGTATTATTAATCAATCTTCGAACGTTACGGCGGAACCGAAAAGTTTCCGCGTCTGAGAAATTTTTTAACCGGCGAACAATTATAGCGATCGCCCATAGCGTAGAAAGTAAGAGGCTGTGCTCCAAAATACGATGACGAGTGAAAGGAGAAGTAGAATCCCGTGTTGCAATGGCTGAAGTAGCTCTCTTTGCAAGGGTCACTGGTTACTAAGCGATTTCAAATGTTCCGAGGAATTTCGGAAAGTCGGTGTACAAAGCCGCCGCGAGCCTTGAGATTCCTCCGCGTAGAAACCTCGCGAGGAACTTTTACAACCGTGGACAATTGCATATTCTTAGCAGCTTATTGTTCTTAGCACCTCTGAAACCCTTCGAAGATCCTCGGCACCTCGAAAACCTCTAAATGGTACAATTGTGATGCTACAAATAAATACAGAAAAAATTGTTAAAACAGGTTAGAGGTCGCAATAAAATAGAACGTCGAGTCTGACTGGACACAGGACTGCTAAGGGTTAAAGCTGCCTCAAGTTCCTTGTAAATATCACCATAGAATCGACACCATTGAAACCTTCCGAAGTTCCCCGTATCCCCAGGCCCTCGGACCTCTGTTCTTCTGCTCATTAAACCAGCCCGACCAGGACATCTCCAGTTTTCTTGACTTAATCGCGTTAAGAATGCGACTTCTTCTTCTGCGTAACATCGTTCCAACTTCAATGGCGTCTTTGACATTTCCCCCGGGTATTTCCCTTCATTCTTTCCCCCTTTCCGTGTCGCTGCCAGGTCCAAGGATGTTCTAACTGTATTCCCGTACTTGGCGAAGCTGCCGCTTTGTCGCCGATTAGCTGTACGAAGCTCTCTCGCCGGTAATGCAGGAAGAAGAGGCGAGCCGGTGAACGGGGTAATCGCTGCCACGCAGCGTCCGAGAAAACGGAACAGATAGGGAGCGATAACGATGCTGAGAGCTATCTGTTTTAATTGCCGCGTATGGTACCTTGTTTTTGCGGCCGGCGAACGGCCGAATGAATTCTCGCGACGCTGCCTCGGTCTGCCTCATCGTTTTTGCCTCGGTGCCGTTCAATAAGGAAAGTGGAATGCCTGTGGGAAGACCGTGCGCGATCTTCGGAAAAATTTTCGAGCAACCGATATATATATATATGTATATATGTATATATGTATATATATGTATTCAATATATAACCGGAGCGGACCACGAGTCTTTTACTTTCTCCAGCGCCGCCATGAATCTCCGTTTAATTAAATTCAATTTACACTTGCCGCTCGCCCCCTTTTTCATACTAGATTTATATCCGATTATATTGTACCTTACACCTTAATCATACCGCCGCCTGTCGAGCGTTTTGCTCGCTTTCGCTCGAATAATTTTCACTCTTGCCAAATGAAACGGCGCTCTTAGCATTCGTCGATAATTTTCAGTGATGGGAAATGATTGTTTGATATAGGAAAATTCTAATGGAATTACTAATATCCTAGTTATCCTACGCTAGAATCAGCACTCGAGTTGGCTTCGTTCGATTCGTCTGTAGGACTTCTAAGTATCTATTGGGATTTCGCTTAACTTGTAATTCTCTTCGCGCATTACTTAAACAATTCCCTCAATTCCTCAGAAATTTGTGATCTTCCCTATAATCGTGGGAGAATTCACGAATGAATTAACTCGACTTTGAACTCTGGTCCAATATTGCACCAGGAATAATATTATATATTTCAATGAATCTTAAAGAAACTACCCTACAATTATTCGATTTCTCACACATCCAAATTTTGCACTAAGAAGGAAAATGAAAGATCTAAGAAATGTTATAGCATTTTTCGTTCTCACTATGGATACCATAAAAACTAGTTGCAGTTGCTGATAGATTACAAAACCTTCTGGAGTGCAAAGGGTTAATATTTCCAAGTTCTCAGGAAACTCAGGATGATCGCAAGATTTATTTCCTTCGCGATGTACCTCGATTCCCAATTTTTCTCTGTATATAAAGAACAGTTGTAATTCCCCACTGACATGTACTACGATACACAGTGTCGAAGCTGAACGGTATAAACACCTTTATCCGTAGCTTTAGTTGCAGCTGCGAGACAATAAGCCGTCGTCGACAATAACACGGATTAGCTAATTCCACCGTCCCGTGTTTGCGTTCCGAAGTAAACATGTACATCTCCGGCCGGGTTTTCTCGTCTCCGAACTCTTCCGGCAGCGCGGAACTGTTCTCCGTCCGCTTTATTTAATTAATGTCGCGTTTCACACGACTCGTCCGTCGGAGTAGCGAAGCATTCTTTCCCGTGTCCCTTGTCGCGACATTATCATCCAGTTACACTCTCTTCCTCGCCCATTACCCTGTTACATTGTTCATCAGAAATAATCGGCCGTTATTACAGTTTCCCTACGAACTCGCGTCGAGAGTCGTCGCGCGTACTCACGACCTTATCCTTCCTCGGAGCTGGTTAAGCGTTCGCGGGAGTTGATTAAAACTGACACAGTTTAATTAAGGCGGATGAAATCCAGTTACCCTTCAGTCTGCGCTTCAATTTAGCCCTCGGCCCCTCGCGGTGGTTCCGTAACGGTGTATAAAAGAATATCGAATAAATAGTTCCGCGAAGTATTAACCCTTTGCTCTCCAAAGGTGCCTCTCAGTCACGATTGGTGCATCAAAATTGTAAAATTTCGTATTTAACAAGTCTTGAGTAATCTGTCGATACGTGAAACGTGGAAATAAAATACCATTGTTCTTATTTTGTGAATGAATTCCTCGTTAAGTTAGTTTAAAAAAATGTCATTTATATCTCATAAAAATGAATTCGGTACTTCTAGTGACAAATTTTTCGAGTGCAAAGGGTTAAGAATGAAACGGTATAATAAGCTACTATATTAATACACGGCGAAACCTGCCAGTAATGGGGAACGAGATTAATCACGGTGATCCCGGTTTTTCTACAAACACA